AAAGTGCTGTCAAAACATGTGGCTTTACTCCACAAGAGCTATTACATTATAGTTTTTATATTTCGATAAATTTCTTAATTTCAATTTTATAGCCTTGTTTACGCAGCAAAATCTAGCTTTCTGAAATAGCTGCACCGGTCTCCATTTTATTATTCTGCGGTCGACACATGTTCTTTTTAAAGTAATCAATCGATACATTAATATTATTAATGTAAACTATCAGAACGCGCCCACAACTTTGACTAAACTATCGCAGAACTGTTTAGTCCCGCTTTGATTCCTATGTACATATTGATTCCTATGGACACACTACTCGCTGCGAAACAATCGACAACCGCACAACTTTTATGCGATTGGTTAGTCAAAGGTGTCCGTTCTTTTATCGTTTATGAACTCGACTAAATTATTAGTTAATCTACTCGATTATCTAAGTAAAAATGGCGACAGGTTGCTGGTGTGACTTGTGATCCAAGAATGCCTCCGAAGCTTAAGGGACAGTATACAAGTACATCATAAGACCTGTCGTATTGTATGGATCTGAATGTTGGGTCACCAAAGTTGCGGAAAGGAGATTGCATGTGGCTGAGATGCGTATGTTAAGATAGATGTGTGTGACAAGAATGAATAAAGTTAAGAATGTGCATATTAGAGGAAATTTGGAAGAAGCGCCAGTGGTAGAGAAATTGAGAAGCAATTAGGTTAGCGCAGTATGGCGTTATGTGACCAGACGATGGGGACATAAACCAGAAAGTGTTAAGATTGAATGTGGATGGCTATAAAGGTAGAGGAAGATCGAAATATGGATTGTGTGAAAGATATGCATAAGAAGGGAGTGGATTCAGATATGACGGCTGATAGAGATGTATAGAGCAGCACATACTGTGCCGACCCTTCATCTCGACTCGACAATCTAATCTAAATTACTAGCCTGGTACGAACTAAGCATTAAAGCGTCTAAAATTAGGACAAGATTTTTCCACAATAAGAAAATAAATACTGAAAACTGTAAACTACACGAAAAGTAAAATCGAGGAACAACAAACAAAAGTGTTCGTACATCGTATAGTAAATTGTACAGAAAAAATAAATAACAGAGTCTAGGATTGAACGTGAGAAAGATAGTAATAAAAAACTCCTAAAACACAAAAAATAAGTACTAAAATAGCACAAAAGCTTTTAAACTAATCTTGGAACAGAACGGTAGGTTTTTCTAAATATTTTTAGGTTATTTCGAAAAAATACTTTTGGATTTAGCTCGTTGAAAGACGTAAATCTAAAAACTACACGTTAAAAATTCATAACAGTATTTTGCACTTAAAACCAACATAAAAAAATCACAGAAAGCCATTAAAGAAATTAAGAAAAAAAAAAACATTTAACAGCCAGTGTTGATTTGTTTTCAAACTGTCGAAGCATTAACCTTTTGCTGTACATCTTAATTAAAAAAAATAGATCAAAAGAAAACTAAAGTCATTTGTCAATCAGTTCGGAAACCCGTTGAAATGCTAAATTAAATCTTGTATTACATTTTACATGTGACGTCGATTCTGTTAATACTGTTCCTTCGATAAAATCTAAAAATAAATAACGTCTTGCAGTCTGTGCGTCTACAATTCCAGTCCACTGGAGCCCGCCATTGGGGTTTGACAACAGATATATCCCGCCATTTTTAACGGTAAAACTTCAAAAAAAGTTTACACACGCGCGAAAGTAATTTTAAAAATAAATTAGATTTATTAGCAAAATTAGAGGAATACTGAATTTCTATATTTATTTATAATATGGCATTTAAGAAAAAGAATGGACGAAATCTTAGTGTGTTGACATTTTTTATTTTTTTGTGGATGACCGAGGCAAAGTTGTCGCAAGATAATAAAACGCATTTGCCAGAACCTAAAAGTTCGCCAAAGGTAAGATAAGTTTTTAATTTTTTTCTTAATTTTTTATTGTTCAATTAATCATTCCCCAGGGATATTTTTTGGTCCCACGGTCAGTATTTTTGCTAGTTTTTTTTTTGAGGTCAATGAAGAATTTAAATAAATCCTCTTCTTTCAATATTTACATCTGAGAAGATTGATAAAAACAGGAACTTCTCAAAAAAATTACGTTAAAATTATGTAAAGCATACATACACTTACCGTTTTCATTTTTTTTATCTGTCTTTTTGTCTGCAAGCCAGCGTTTATTCAGGGTAACCTCTGAAACGGCAGAACCTATTTTGACAGAACTTTGAAATGTAGCTAGTGCGAGAATCTTATAGACTATTTTTTTTTCTATTGTAACGCTGACGAAGTTTTTCTATCATACACTCCTGTCTCTCAGGTCAAATATCTATGTAGAACATTTAAAATAATCGTTGGTTTGACCAAATAAATAATGACAATGTGGCCATTAATTTTTCTGTCGAGTCATAATTTCTGCGGCATTTTACACCATTTTCTTACTAATATTATAAATGCGAAAGTTTAGATGAAAGTTTGTTTGTAGACGTTTACTGAACGGATTTCGATGTTGGGATAGAGGTAGAGGATACTCTGGAAGTACTGATAGGCTACTTACTTTTGTTTTTTAATTCCACGCGGACGAAGTCGCGGGCGAAAGTTTCGATGGATGTTTGTTATACGTATCTCCATAACGACTCAACGGACCTCGTTTTAAGACACAAATATAGAACATAGTCTGGAAGAACACATAGGCTACGAGTTAAATTTTTATTATTTCGGCGCGGACACAGTCGCAGCGGCAGCTTGTCTAATTCAAACATTGAGAAGAATCTAATATTTTATCTAGGTAATATATTGGTGTGTATTTAGGGCACATTTGTGTCATGGACAATAAAAAAATGTAAAAATACATTTTATTATTTAACAGAAAAAACTTCGTGTAGTGACGCACGTACTTTTGGCAAAACTTATAAGCCAAGTGTTGCTAGATTTTGAATCTTTAATTTCCACTACAATATTCGACGACAGGTGGACAGAAGCTGAGAAAAAAAATATAATCGTTTTGATATAAATTTTGTTAACCGGTCAACATATTTTAAAGTGTAATATTAACCTATTTTTTTTACCAGAGTAAGTGAAAAGAAAGCCTATTTCTTTGCATTTTTTTTTATCTGAAATTTAGTTTTTTACTTGCTCTTGAGATAGTTGGATTGCGAGAAATATAAATCAGGATATGACCAAGACCAGAGATGACGGATGATAGAGTTATTTGGAGGAGGAAAACCCTTAGCGCGACTACGGGAGTAGGATAAGGAGATGATGATTTGATATCCACTTCTTCGTGTAATAAATAATAACGAAATATTTAGGTAATAACCATTCAGTCGTGGCCCACACAAAGTTGGTAATACAGCAATTTATATCCCCGCGTAATGTACGTCGGTAGATCATAACAATTTACATTAAATATTCACATTATGCTGATAAAAACTACAAATTTGAAACTTATAAAACATTTAAATAAAGATAAACGATCAAAATGTATCTTTCGTTAGAAAATAAGATGAAAACGATCTGATGTTATAGGTAACATTTTTTTATTTAGTAAATATTATTGTTAATTGGAAATCTAAAAATCCTGACTTACTCTACCTCTATCGGCAGAATACTGGAACGAATCACATTTCGCTTGGTAAGCGTTATTTGTAATTTGGAGTTCAAGTGTGGCCTTAGCATATAAGACGCTGTTAGATGTCGTTTTAATATTAGACCGAATGACAATCAAAGGACTAATACGATACACTTTTATTTACTCAAAATAGATTCAATCCTTTAGGCTACAGGTGATCACAACAATATACATACAAACCCACATGTGGGCACACATAGGCAGCGGTCGGTTTTCCATTTTGGCATATTCAGGTAGCCACTTGTAAGTTTGCCACACTTTTATTTAATAAAAAAACATATACGCGAACAACAAACATCCTCCAGAGTCAGGTAATCTTCACTACCAATACACCCTAGTGTAAACACAGCCATACACACGTCTTGGCATCGTCTATATAACGAGTTTCATAATCAAAAATCCTCTACACAAAGTGGACAATTCTGACAGTCATAAAGTCATCTACCGAGTCTAATTTATTGCAGAAACTATAATATCGTCTACACGCGATAAAAAGCGCAAAAATAATTCTACTATTTCGTGTATTATCTACATTTCCTGCGTGTTTACGTAAAATATAACCTCAACTATACAATTATGTCACTGCGTTGCGTCTTTTTAGCGAAAATAAAAAAAAACAACTGCACTTTTTATACTTTGTATGATAAAAAATATATGTGGCACTACAATTGAATTTCACAATCACGTTAATTAATAAAAACTGAAAAAAAATACCGCATACTGATATATTTTTGTTTTCAATTGTAATGTCTTTCATTAAAGTTACAATGTAGTGGCTTAGAATCTATGGAGTAATTTTTAATAATGCTGTCGCACGCAAATCCGTTTCCGCGGAACTAAAAACACCTCAGTCTATGTGTTCTTCCAGACTATGTTCTAAATGCCTTTCAGCGAGACTAATTTAGCCGTTCAGGAGATATGTAATAACAACGTGGGTGCCGGAGGCCCAATATTTAGTCCATTTTCCTTATAAGGAAAGTATGAGAATGGAAAGTGAATTTGACGTCAGTCTCGACGGAGAAGACGTATTGCAAGGGGAAACATTATTTTTATGTGCGTCTTTTCCTCAATAAAGGGTAAGCAACGCATCTGTAATTACGGATGTTTACGGGTAGTAATCGTTTTGCCTTTTCGACGTATAAATGTGGCCGCACGCTCGTTTGCCACCTAATATTATAAAAAGATTATCTATCTATTCTTCCATGCCCACATTCATATTTTTTATGTTGGTGCTATTACAAAACTGACCGGATAAACTATGCTTAACTCTTTTCCTAACCCGATATTTGAGATCATAAGAGCGCGCCGACACATTTGACTAAACTAAACTATCGCAAAACTATTTAGTTTCGCTTTTATTTCTATGGGGTTATATGGAGGTGTGTACACTACTCGTTTTTTAGTTGTGCAAGTAAACAGTTATGCGAAACAATTGACAATCATACCACAGTTTGCGATATTTTAGTCAAAAGTGTGCGCACGCACTATATCGACAAGCCTAAGAAATAAAGTCATGTACTACGTAAACAGACAACATAAACTCGAATGACAAATTGCGAGGAAGTCGGCCGTCTTGTCGAACATAAACATCTTTCGTTTAATGACATCCTAAAACGCAACAATAAAACGATTTACAACACCTCCATGAACTGTTACTATAAACATGGGTACAGAGAATAAAATCCTGTTTATAAAATAACTAACCTTAAAATAATGGAATCATTCGACGAGTAAATACTTTTTGCAGATTAATATTTTAATAAAAAAATTAATAATCCCCAAAACATGAGGAGTTTCTAATATGTAACAACACTAAAATTAAATCATTCATAATCAACTGTCAAATAACGGCTCCATTTTGACAGATGCGTTCAGAAATCGCGTTCAATTTATTTATCAACATAAATCGAGGATATATTTTATTGCCGTCTGCGAAGTAAACTCGCACTTATATCTCGGTATAAATAATAATCTCGTTCTTGGCGGATTTCCAGAGGTTTCCGAACGCACCGTTAGTACATCACCTGGAGAAATAAACACTCGATTACTGAACGAATTCAAGCGCATCGCGGACAAGCTTTTGTAGTATTTTGTAAATGCAATACAAAATTACAACCACTTTCCTAACTTACGATTGAAAGTTTTAAATTTAGAATTCTGTTATTCAAACATCGCGGGAGAGGTTTTTTGTAACAATTTTAGAGGCAAAAGTAATTATTGCATAAGTTTTAAATCTTCTTTAAAATATAATAAATGTGAAAGTTTAGAGAGATGTTTGTTAGAGTTTGTAGCCTAAACGGCAAAACGGATTTCGATGAAATTTGGCATAGGTGTAGCGGATAGTTTAGAAAAACATATAGGCTACTCACGTTTGTATTTTTAATTCCACGCGGACGGAGTCGCGGGCGAAAACTAGTTTGAAGTCTTAGCGCTTTGACGAAAAACTCGAACCCATAAACTACCAACATCATAAAATAAACTTCAAAAGTATTGATCAGCTGCTGTTTATTAAATTATTTACTAAACTTACTTTATTACAAAATAAAATATTTTTAACGTATAATTTCATATTTTAATTTACAAGTAAAAACTTCAAAGCGTTGCAACTTTCTAATTGGAGGGAAAAATTAATCAAAACTAATCGAAAGCGATTATTTGATATTTCAAGGATATTTTTACTTAGCTTCTAAACAACAAAATTTATTGATTACGTAAACTAAACCATTTTGGCAGGAAAAAGGCACAGTTCGAATAAAAATCAATGCGTAAAAAAATTTTAAAAGTCGAAATATGATTTTGACAGCACTAACTGGCTGTAAATAACAATATGCCTTCGTCTTGTTTCGATGACTAAACTCTGTATAAAAAGATTCAAACTTTATAAACGCTCGGCATTAGTTCCAAGCCTACCAGATGGGACCACTATTAGTATAGGAAATGAAAAGATATGAAATCTCTTCGCCGATAAATATACCGGAGACTTAATTTTAGTCCCCTTGCCCGTCTCACCTTTTACTTGTAAGGGAGAGTGTATTTGTGGGAAGGGATTTATATATCGTGGGAGGGGACGCACAGGAAGGTGACATATCCACTTTCTTCACGTCCCTTCCTCCGTCGATTACAGGTAAGCAATCTGGAATTGTCGATTTCTATAGGCAGTTTTCGCTATTTTGGCAAATTTAGGCGACTGGTTGATCCTTTGCCGCCTTATAATATTACAAAAACCAAACTATATTAAATAACTTGAACTGTATATCCCGGCCATCATAAAGTTTGTTATTTACTATACCATCGTTTGCTGACTCATGTATAATCTCGCCAAATTCTCAAGTGCGTAAAAGCAGCTGGAGTTATTCCAAAATATAGCTTTAATATATTGAGAAGGCTAATCCCAATTAATACATTTAAAAGCAACGGATAATAGTTAACAACTGATATCTATACTTCTATATTACTATAATAAAGCGTAAACACACACTTCTTTGTTGCCTAACATGTCAGCAACCATATTTTTGAATAGTTCTTTTTTAATAAAAAGCCGTACACTTACGTCACGCTTTAGGCTATACATTTTCACGCTATTAAACTTACGCTATCAAAATATTTTGGATAAAAACCCTAATGTGGGAAAGAGACTATAAAATGCTACCAACATCAAGGAAGCAAGGTTGCCATGGTTTGTCATCATGTAATGACATTTTGACATTTGCTATTGATAATTTGACAAATGTACACAATAAAAAAAAATCACAATTTCATGAGGATGAAGCCGCACGGGAATAGCTAGTTATTTATAATTCCGTAAAATAAATGCTAAACATATTATTTTTAAATACAGAAAAAAAACGAAATACAAAAGAAAAATCATGAATTCAAAACGTCTTGATATAAGTTTCGTTACATTAGACGAAATATATAACTCAAAGGACAGAAGGCACAATATTACAATAAAAATGTATTAAATACAATCTCATTCGCTTTGCTATTTGTTTAAAATTAAACTAGCTGTTCCCGTCCGATTTCATCAGTATAAAATTATTTTATTGTATACATGTGTTAAATTGTCAATTGCAAATGTCAAAATGACATCATGACAAACCATGGCAACCTTGCTTCCTTGTTGGCAGCAACTTATGGTCTCTTTCCCACATTACGGTTTTGATCCAAAATATTTACCTCCTAAGTTTAATGGCGTGAAAATATATAGCCTAAAGCGTGACCTAAGTGTAGGGCTTTTTATTAAATAAAAAATTATCCAAAAATATTCTGTGATTGCTGACATCTTAGGCAACAAAGAAGTGTGTGTTTACGCTTTATTATAATAGTATAGATATAGATATACGGTTAGAAACGCAAAGAACATACTCGTAGACTCAGAGCGCGGGCACACCTTTGATAAAACAATCGCATATCTGTTGTACGATTGTCGATTGTTTTGCATTCAATTGTTTAGTTGCACAACTAAAAATCGAGTAGTGCATCATTTAAGCTCATAGACATCAAAACGGGATTATTATTTGTCTAAATAATTTAGATTAGTTTGACAATTCATTTCAAATTTAGTAGGGATGGGTTGTGTAATCAGTCATGAATCTTATCGATTTTCGATTTTCGTTCTTATAGAAATTGGAATCGATAGATTTATAGTTATAACTTATGAAATAAATAAAAAACATTGGTTTCTTAAATTAATAATGACCATAACAAATAATGAGAGTAAATAAATGTTTATTACTACTACAGCCGTACGTAATCGAATTGGATTTCGCTATTATTTCTGTCATTGCTAAATTCTCTACACTGTAATCAATACTAGAATTGAATCTGAATTAGTGAATAAGAAAATAATAATTTTAGTTGAGTTCGATAATTATTTAAACCGAATATCGATAGTTCATAATTGTTCGCTATGTGTTTGTTTCGTCACTACGATACCTGTCTATTAAGTATTTGCCTTCATACAAATTGAATTCGATACTTCATATGCGTTATTTACCAAACTAATGTATCTTATTTAGACACTCTATAAACAGTGCGATAGATTAGTCAAAGGTGAGCGCTTTTAACGTATTTAGTTGACCTCCATTAACAGACATTGATTAGAGTTCTCGTGTTTGTATAATGTTAATTTTATGACGGAAAACAGATACATCGAAAATCCGGGAACAGATTAAAAATAAACATTCCTCTAGACTGAATTGAAGAATGTTTTTACCTATATTATAAGGTGGCAAACGAGTCTATCACTAACACACTATACGTCCCCACTGAGGGGCTCGGAGCCTTTTTTTTATAACAAAAGGTGGCAAACGAGCAAGCGGCCACTAGAATCCGTTAAAATGACATCCGCAATTGCAGATGCGTTGCCTACTCTTATACCACGGAGGGGGAGACGCACATAAAGAGGATATTTCCCCTTCCTATGCATCTCCTCCACCGTTTAATCCACTTCCCCTTTCCAACCTCTCCTTATAAGAAAAGGGTGGTAAAGCAAAAGGGACTTAAATTAGGCCTCCGGCACCACACTCATCAGAAGAAACACGGAATTGCTTCCATTTCACGCCTGTCTTCTGTATGGTCGTGGTATTACTGGGGGCGTGCCTGCAGTGCTAAGATGTTAAAGCGGGCACTACCACTGTACCTACCCTAAGTTAGTAATAATATTAGGAAGATTAGTAAGATTGCGTGTGGCCCTACAGTGCGTAAACGTTAAAGAGGACTCTACCACTATTAAAACTGTCAAGTTTCATAACAATTGTTTCACAGTTAAGTGACGGAGCGTCGCTGGTGTTTGCTGATGAATTCAAAGTTACACTCGAGAGGTATCTCTTCGGAATATGTCCGCAGAGCTTTAAGGTGAGTTACAATACATCTTAAACAAAGAAAGGTACTAATAAAATATCACAGTTTGAGTTTAATCGTATTGCGTAAAACCGTGCGATGTAGTAATACATTCCCTTAGCTAATGGCCTAGGCTGAGCCTAGAGGGAGCATCTACACTAATATAGCCATATTCAAAGTTTTCATATTTATTTTTGGAGTCTCTAGCGAGTAGGGGATTCCTGGCAACGCCTATTATATTTGTAATTTAGTTGGTACCATACTGTTTGCATAATATATGTATCCTCAAACAGTTTCGTTGGTCTCAGATGGCAGTCACCGTGAAGGGGAAGAATACGACCACAGTCGGATGTGATTTGGACACAGACCAACAGGATCTGGCGGGAAGGTAAGATTTTATTGTCTTCAAGCTATTGCTCGCAACTTTGTCCGCTTGATATTAAAAAATATACCTATGTTACTTACTGATAACGTAGCTTTTTAATGGTGAAAGAATTTTCAAAATCGGCCCAGTAGTTTTTGAATTATTACAATACATACAAAAATCCAAATATTTCCTCTTTTTAATGTTAAATATGGATTTAGAATTCAGACCAATATTTTTTTTTTAATTTCCGACTTACTATAAAGTAACAAGTTTTTGACTTTTTTGGTTTATAGTATTCAGATAAATCGATACTGTATCGATGTAGTACAATACTTGATCTTTGACGTAGCGTCCCGTCCTTATGACAGTTGTCAATGTCAATTACAATATTAGATAAGCGCGCCATTCTTGGCGGAAATTTAGACTTAGAGCGCGCACATCTTTGACTAAACATCGCACAACTGTTTAGTCTTGCTTTGATCCCTATGAGATTATATGAAGGTGACTTACTCGACTTTTAGTTATGCAACTAAACAGTTGAATTGGCTGCGAAACAATCGACAATCGCACTACAGTTATGCGATTGTCTAGTCAAAGGTGTGTGCCTCTTAGTATTAAGTATAATAATGTTATAACAATTATATTATTGTCGTTACGTCGTTTTAGAACAGTTAATAAATCATAGCGTGTTATTTCTTAGATTAGCGACATTAGCGTTACGAGCACATTCGGCCGCTCGGTCGGATTGCTCGCGACTGGGAGCCGCGCTCGCCAACACGCTCGGCGAACTCGCGCGCACCGCCGCCAACAGGCACGCCATGTCCGCTGGTAAGTACTTTTAAACAATGAATAATTGTAACTAGCGATTAAAATTTAAACACTCCACTAGAGAACTCGCCAGCGTTGCGCGCGAAACATCAATCCTCCTAATGACATTGACAGCTGTCAGTTAGAGATGTGACGTTTATGCCAATAATCTAGTGTTGTGCAAATTCTAATTTTACTATTTGTATTGTACTAATTTTCTTCTTAACACTATGGATATCCGTGTTTGATTTTCGATTAACGATATCTAGTAAAATTGACAAAATGTATTATAATCAGCGATATGGATATTCGAATCTTACGTTGTCGCAGTAAAGATTTTATGAAGGTCCATCAGCTTTCCATCTTTCAGATCACTAGTGAATTAAAAAAAAAAACATATTATCGTTAAGAGACGGTCAAATTCAATATACCTATCTCTTTCTAGCAGCAGTAAACGAAGCGAATAAGAAACGTAAACTATCGAAGAGTCAAAAGGCAAAGATCCAAGCAAAGCAACGAACAGCGCTCGCTGTGAAAAAGAAAGCCGCAGCCGCCGCAGCTGCAGCCGCCGCTAAGATGGCGTCATAACCTCTAAATACACGAAATAAAACACAATTATTAAAAAATCTTGATGTTTTTATTTAAAACTATCAGTCGCTCGGGACAAATATATAGCCTGTTACTGACAAATTACTTTTCTAACGGTGATTTTTTTTTAAATCAGCTCAGTAGTTTTTGAATTATTTCAATACGTAGGTACAAAAATACAAATCTTTATAATTTAGGTGATCCAAAATGTACTTTTTAAAGTAATATAGATTTTAAAGTATCGTTTACTTTGTTTTAACAACATTTATTTTGTAGAGAAATATAGAACTAAAAAACTATAAGCGCGAAGGTAATTGATTAATGTTTACTAATTGATTTTCTAACAACTTTTCGGACAACCAACACGTATAAAGTACATTGTAATTAACCAATCACAACTTGTCTCATTGTCAATTAAGCTTTACTATTGTTAGAGTCAAAATGGCGGCTGTACCATAAGGAATTAAATTATACGTCAATATGGCGGATCTAACTTAATTTCATTCTGGAAAATGTACTTTTTATCTACTAAATAGTAAATTTCTTTAGTTAGTGGTATAATTTAATTAGCTATAGTTCATCCGCCATTTTGAGTCTATTGTTACAATAAATTCCGTATTATTGAATGGATTATTCCAAACCGTCATCCCGCTTTGTCCACGTGGGGACAGATGAGAATAAAGTTTGATCCGTACCACCTTTTGCGACGAGGACGGTTGGAATTTATTTTATTCCATAACGGTTCAATCTGTCACCTTATTGGTGATAGTAGGACTAAAAGGTGGGACGGATGAAACTATATTTTCACGTGGGGACAGGGCGGGGTGACGGTTGGGAATAATCCTATTATATGTTTAAATTGTTTTGTCAACTTTAATAATAAGCTACACTTTTTTAATAACTAATTATTTTTATACTTTCACTTTAGTTTTAATTACACTGTAAATAATTAATGTAAGGTTTTTTTAATGTTTTTAGGATATTGTTTAAAATAAACGTTTTTTATTGAATTGCGTTTAGATGTTTATCCCTCTCCCCGGTGTTGCCTTTGGTATAATTACTGCGAGGTTCACACTTGGCCAATACAGTTGGTCAGTAGCGCTCAATAACTGGACTGGCATTCGACTGTCACTGTGTATAACAGGCACCAATGGTCTACTACCTACTAATCTATAAATAGCCATGGCAACTGTATTGGCCAAGTATAAAAGGTGCATATAAAAGGTAAGTAAGAAATAAAACGATTATAATTTTTATAAAAAAATGTATTTACACAATACTCATACAAAAATTGATTTAAAAGTTTATTTGGAGGGTTACAGTTTACAACAATAATTAGAGTATTATCGTCAAGTCTTTCATTATCTATGGTCAGCGATCCACGCGACCATAAACTGCCTCAAGTTTACAATTACTACAAAGTTTTGACCCAGTGGGCGTAATTCCTGGTTTACACATGGCCAGTACAGTTAGACAATAGCACTGGCGTCAGTTTTCACTTTAAGCCAGTGTACGCTACTGTCCAACTGGACTGGTTAAGTGTGAACCAGGCATGCCTACTTCGCACCGGCCTTGTTATTTAGTCGAGTACCGAATAATTTAGTACCTAAACGTATCTGAACGAATATTCAGTCGAGTCGATCATTCGATTTTTGTATATTTAAAATTAGTTATATAATCATTTCTGTGTAGAGAAAGTAACGTTAGAAAAAAGGACATTTAAAAATAAATAGACGAAGTGAACAAAATATTTTCACATATGCTGTTGCCTTTCAGAGAAAGTACCAGACGCTTGGGAGACATTTTTCACATAATCTCCCTAACGCTATAGTTAGCCTCAAAATATGTCAATATAATTAAATGTATTTAAATTTATAGCTAATAAGTGTCATTAAATAATATTAAAAAGATTTCAAACTAGCTGTTGCTCGCGACATCGCCTGCGTGTAATTAAAAAAATAGCCTATGTTACAGATTTTACCTTTCTAACGGTGAAAGAATTTTTAAAATCAGCAGAGTAGTTTTTGAGTTATTCCATGCATACAAAAAAAATCCTCTTTATAATATTAGTATAGTAGGTAGAGCTTTTTATTTAGTAAAATGTTTTATTGCATATATACGAGGTGGCACTAATCTTGACAACTGTTTTGTAGTACCTTTCAGAGAGTGTACCAGTGAAATTTTTTATTCAGTCTCGTCTATATTTTTTTTACGTCTTTGATTCCAGACTATCCTCTACATGTGACAAACATTCGTTTAATTTACGATTTACAAACATTCATACAAACAGATTCACAATAAAAGGCCTGTCCCACCAAATTGTAAATTGTCTGATAACAATCCAACGTGTAAAATGTGACGGAAATGTCGGATTTGTTCCCTTATCTGAGCCTCTATCAGCCAGTGGCGGGACAAGCCCTAAATAATTTTGAACTCTTAGTGGAATTAGTGCATCAATTTTGTTCCTATACAATTTACTCTTGTAGTTTTTTGCTGTTGATATTTTAGCTGCCTTACAAAAAGATACCTAATCTAGTAAAGGCCTCCGGGTACCTTTGTTAGGGTAAATTTAATACATTGTCGTTAAAATACTGACGGATTATTCCCAACCGTCACCCCACTGTTCCCACGTGAGAATAAATTTCATCCGTCCCACTTTTTAGTCGCACTATCTCCAATAAGGTGACAGATGGAACTGTTATAAAATAAAATCCAACCGTCTCCCTGTTACTCTCACCTGTCCCTACGGTGGGACGATGGGGTGACGGTTGGGAATAATCATACGGACATGTAAAACGTCTATATGTCCATCTATAGATGTTACATCTACAGTACTTATAGCTAATATTAATACTGTATACATTTGGTCTATTTTTAAACCTTCATTACCTACATAAATGCATTAAAAGTCATATAAAAATACTGGTATTATTATTATTTTGTACGCGAGTGTTTTAAAACTACGTTATTTACAAATTATGATTAATCTCGATATTCATATATCTAAAATGGCGTATAAAAATTAGTACTATGCGGACGCAATAACTTGATACCTGTGTTGATGACGTCATCTTCTGTGGTAGAGCCCGCTTTAACATCTACGCACGAATGGGTCGGCTCGCCCCCACCACCACACCAATACCACGACCACACAGAAAACAGACTTGAAGTGGAAGCAATTCCTAATTGCCGGAGGCCTAATTGTAGTCCCTTTTTCCTTTCCACCCTTTTCTTAAGAGGAAAGGATGGGAAGGAATGGATTTGACGGAGGAGACGCATAGGAAGGAGAATGTCCTCTTTATGTGCGTCTCCGTCAATGAAGGGTAGGCAGCGCTGCAATTGCGGATGCGGTGCAGCGGTCGCTTTGCATTTCGGTATTCAGGTAGCCCATTGCTCGTTTGCCAGCTTGTATTATAAAAAAATATAAACGATAGAATGTGAGACCAAATAGGTCAGTACAACACGAGGCTGTATTCTGTGGGTAGTTTGAACAATGCGGTCTGTACAATAGTGGGTATTTAGGATATTGTGGAAAGGAAATCAACGTCCTCGACTACGTTAAGGTATCATGTTATTGCGTACACATAGCATATTATAGTTATTATGAAAAATAAATATAGTAAGCCTTTTACGGCGGGTATGACATACGAATTTATAATAAAAATTTAAAAAAAAAACGACTTTATGTGCGGAATTAAATAAAAACAATAAATCTATACTAATATAAAGAGGAAAGATTAATATTTCTGTATTGAAATAACTCAAAAACTACTGGAATGATTTAAAAAAAATCACCATTAAAAAGCTATATATCATTGGGTAACATAGGCTATTTTTACTATTTTTTTAATTCACACGAGCAAAATCGCGAGCAACAACTAGTCTGTCATAATGTGTTTCAAATGAAAGAATGAAATATCAATAAAATTTTTGATTTTTCAATTACTAGCTGTTGCTGGTAAATTCGCTTGCGTGATATTAAAAAAGTAATAAAAAACATAACCTATGTCACTCAATGACAACATAGCTTTATAATAGTGAAAGTAATAAAATTGACCAATAGTTTTTGAGTTAATTTAAACAATTCCATACAAATCCTTCCTCTATATTAGTATAGATGAAATAATTCGTTAAAATCAAGTTATAATCAATTCAAAATGGCGGCTAAATTCAACTTATTTTTTTAATTATACAAGTTAAACCAAACCTAACTAAACTAAATTGATTCATTAAAAGGAATATAAAGTCAAGTACAATCGGGAAACTCCGCGGTATTCCATTTCCAGAATAAATCCCTCGTTCCATACAACTAAGCCTTTTTATAAATAAACAATTAAGTAACAGTTAAAACTTGATAATAATAAAAATAAAGTACTCGTGTATTGATAGATTTTTTTCGTAAAAACATATAAAATGTAGACCACTAACAGATTCCGCAATAGTACTTTCGAGAAAATTGATGAATGAAACGAGCTATTGCCCGTGACTTCGTCCGCGTGGTATTAGAAAACATACTAACTATATAAATTACAAAAAGTATCCCTCTGTGAAGATGAAGCTTATCCCACGTGTACTCCTGACTTTGTTTTATATCTGAGACAAATTTCAATAAGATATGTTGAACCGTTGCAGAATTATCGAGTGAACATTAAAAAACTAAATTAATGAAACCCACGGGAACCATAAATATTCCAGGGATAAAAAGTAGCCTATGTGTTTTTCCAGACTATGCTCTAAACCTGTGCCAAATTTCATGGTGATCTGTTCAGCCGTTTTGGCTACAAACGCTAACAAACATCCATCCATCTAAACTTTCGCATTTATAATATTAGTAAGATTTATTTTAAAGTCTATTTGTATATGATTTCTTAATAAATATTTAAAGATAATAGCACGAAAATCATCAATTTTTAAATATATTTGCAATAGATTAAATAAAAAAACATTTGTAATTCAAATTGTCAAACGAAAGAAAAAGGTGGCGTTCAGCCAAGATTTCATTTTTTTACCTTGTTATAAAACACTAAAAAAATCATTTTATTTGTCATTTAAATAAATTAAAACATGCTAATTAAATTTTTTTAAATCGATTTTTATGAATTTAATTTGATTTATACAAAAAATCTAAAATTATATTGCACAAAATGCTGTCAAAGATGAACGTATTCCCGCCACAAATTTTTAAACGTCATTCTGACATTTCTATCGTTATCTGTCAGAAATTTAAATTCGTCTGTCACGCCCACCGAATATTAATATGAAAATACATTAAAAAGTCGATTATTATTGCTTAATTTACACAGGTAATAAATACGTTTTTTAATTTCAAGCATTCAGCAAATTTCTATAAAAAAATCCGAACGAATTTTACATTTCGTTTCAATCCAAAGTCGAAATTAATCACAAAACTGTATATTTTTTATAAAAACTTGTCGATATCAAAAAATTTTTTTTAGAAAAATATTTTTTCCACAAACATTAGCTACCCTTATTTTAAAATATCACTTTATTTCACAAAATAAATGAAATACGTGAATTAAAACCGCCATCTTGTTTAATTTCGACGTTGGATGAAAACGGAACTATGGAATGTTTTTTTTTTAAGTCATATCAAAAACATTACAAGGCACGTTACATTACCAGTGCATTTTACATTTAAACCACAAATATATACAAAAACTGTGATGTCAGCAACACTAAATATAAGTACGATCAAAAAATTTTATTAAAAAACAAAAAAAAAGACCAAAAAAATACAAAAAAATACTAAACTGGCCTTAAACAAATAATTTCTAGTAATCTCCAGTGTTGCCATACAACTAAAAATACCATTAAAAGTTGCCAGCATCAAAAAAAAGTTGCCAGTATTAAAAATACACTTAAAAATTATATTTTAGTAATAAATTAACTATTAGGTATACCTTCTCCCCAGGAACAGTACCAATTGTAATTAAACATGGCGGCGTATGGATGTTTCCTTTTCTTATGCAATCTGAGAGATTCCTCCGAAGCATACCAGAACTGTGGGTATTTGTCAAAAGGGTATTTTTCAGCCTCTTTCACGTAAGGTTCGGTAGAATCATCTGAAAATCATAAAGCGATTAGTTTATAATAACTGGAATTCAGGATACTTTGAAGAATACAAGAATAATTAAATTTCTCTATGGGAAACATTGCCTTGTTCCTTGCAAATCAAACTTCGCCTCTTAAAAATAATTTAGATAACAGTGAGTGGTGCAAAAGGATAATAATAATAAAAACTAGAAGTGTATGTGAGTTGTGTGAACGATACTGAATGACGTGTGTGTCGTGTGAACGATACTGAATGACGTGTGAGTTGTGTGAACGATACTGAATGACGTGTGAGTTGTGTGTACGATACTGAATGACGTGTGAGTTGTGTGTACGATACTGAATGACGTGTGAGTTGTGTGTACGATACTGAATGACGTGTGAGTTGTGTGAACGATACTGAATGACGTGTGAGTTGTGTGAACGATACTGAATGACGTGTGAGCTATGTGAACGATACTGAATGACGTATGAGTTGTGTGTACGATACTGAATGACGTCAGTTGTGAGATACTCACGTGGCGGTAGACAATAGAGACAGAATATCCTATGTCTCTTTCCTTCGTGTGTCTCGAGGTGTTTCTTATGGTGTTTGCGGCGAGTGGACACATGCGGGCAGCAGGGGCAGGGTATGGCAAGTTCTCGAGGCACGCCACCGTGACGCTCCGCAGCGTGGGTGAGCAGAGTTGACACCACGCGGTAACCCTGGATTGATACTTGATAAATTACTATCTAGTACATGATATAACTGTGCTAGTAGTACATAGCTTTTTTTATAAGGTGGGAAACGAGCAAGCTGCCACTTGAATCCACCGAAATGGAAAGCGACCGCTGCCCATAAACATCCGCAATTGCAGCGTTGCCTACCCTTCATTGACGGAGACGCACATAAAGAGGACATTTCCCCTTCCTATGCGTCTTCTCCACCGTCAAATACACTTATCCTTGCCATCCTTTCCACATAAGAAAAAGGTGGAAAGGGAAAGGGACTAAAATTATGCCTCCTGCACCACACTCATCAGACTGTACGCGGAATTGCTTCTACTTCACGCCTGTCTTCTATGTGGTCGTGGAAGTACATCGGCCCGACTGGCTACTACTAAGTTATAGTTCTTTTCCTTAAGGTTTTTCCAATTTATTTACCCCCTAAGTTTAATAGCGTAAAAATATATAACCTAAAGCGTGTTTTAAGTGTAGAGCTTTTTATTAAAAAAGAGTTATTCAAAAATATGGTGTAATTGCTGACATCTTAGGCAACAAAGTGTGTGTTTACGCTTTATTATAATAGTATAGAGTATAGAAGTAAAGATTCAATTACTCACTTTGAAGCAATGTTCACATCTGTACGGAAAGTTCTTCCATTTAGGATTCTTCTTTCTGCTGAACACCATCTTGTAAGGCTCCGCTGGGAACCAATCTTGGGGGTCTAAATCTAATTCAACAACTTCCACCCCTGAAAAATAACCCACATCTAAACATATATGTTAAAAACAGCTAATTATCTCAAACCTCGGTAACTTCAAAAAATATGTTCCCTTCCCATCAGAGCACAAAACCTCTACAACATAGACCCTTGATAACTTAAAACCTCTATAAATTGAAATATTCTGTGTTTCCCTTGGACTTTTACTTATCGAGGTTCTACTGTACTAGGTGCTGCTCGCGACTTCGATCGTGTTGAAATAAAAAATATTAAAAATGTCTATGATACTCTGATTACGCTTTTTAATGATGAAGGAATTTTTAAAATGGGCTCAGTAGTTTTTGAGTTATTTCAATTCATACAAAAACACATTTCTTTTTATAACAGTACTATCTTTCGCCTGCGACTCCGTACACGAAATTTAAAAAAAAATTATGTATCCTATTCGTTTTTCCAGACTATCCTGTAAATAACTCTATCATCCGTCATCTCAGTCAGTCCCCTTTTGACCATGTCACCTTTCACACAATCCATCTCTTTCTATGTCTACTACCGATGTCCACATTCATAACTAACGTTCTCCTTGTAACATGCGATTTGTCCCTCCTCATGACATGCCCTCATGCTAACCTTCTACCACTGGGGCTACTCTCAAACTTCCTCTTACATACTCATTTCGTATCTTATACTTTCGTATTACCACACATCCATCCAAATTACTATATCCAAACTATTTTTTTTTATTTATCAACTTCTACAGACTCTTGGTCCGTACTCTTTTTTGCACAGTTTGTTTTCTTATTCTTCTTCTCTTATTTTATTTATTTTGTGTACTAGTGAGTTCCTTTATTTTTATATCCAAACTATTCATCATCATCATCATCATCATCATCACCAGCCCACTATACGTTCCCACTGAGCTCGGAGCCTACCCTAATAAGGGGTGACTAGGCCATAGTCAACCTGCACTGCGGGTTGACTTCACACATATCTTTGAATTTCTTCACCGATTTGCATCACGGTGTTTTCCTTCACCGTAAGAACGTCGGGTAAGTTAAATACATATGAAAATTCGAAAAATTGAAAATCACATTGGTACGGCGGGATTCGAACTCAAGATCTGTAGACAAGTCAAGTGCTTAAACCACTGAGCCACCGACGCTCGATTATTACTAGAATAAAATGCTATTACTAGAATAATATTAACTTACCCGGAGGTATTTTAACTTGGGGTACAATCTGTGGTTGTATAACTTTCACCGCTGGTGTGGTCACAGTTGTAGTGAATGTTGGATTGGTTGCTGCGAGTAGGCTGGTCAGGATTGTATTTTGGGCCTGAAATAAGTATGTTAAAACATTTATGACAGGATGCAAAGACAAATAAGTATCCAAAACTATAGGTTTCAGATGAAATGCATTTATAAGCGATGTTTACAGATATCTATACTAATGTTACAAAGAGGAAAGTTTTGTATTTTTGTTTATATATATGAAAAAACTCAAAAACTACTGGGACAATTTAAAAAATTCTAACACCATTAAGCTATGTTATCACTGAGTAACATAGCTATGTTTTTACTATGTTTTTTAAATTTACGCAGACAATTTCGTGAGCAACAGCTATCTTACTAATATTATAAATGTGAAAGTTTGGATGGATGTTTGTTAGAGTCTGTAGCCTAAAAGGCTGAACGGATCTGGATAAAATTTGGCACAGATGTAGAGGATAGTCTGGAAGAACACATAGACTACTTTCTTTTGTTTTTATGAATACCATGCGGACTGAGTCACGGACAGTAGCTAGTTTTTTATAAGTGACAAATTTTTGATTCGGATTTCGTCCAAACGGTATTAAGAAATAATAATAAATATATTCTATGTCATTCAGTGATAATTTACCTTTCCAATGGTGAAAGAATTATTAAAATCAGGTTAGTAGTTTTTGAGTTATTCTGTTACATACAAAAGTAAAGATCATGCCACTGTATATTAACAAGGAAACAGCCATCGGAATTCACCAAAATAGCAAATCGACCACTACCCATTGGGATCTGCATTTGCAAATATGTTGTCTACCTTTAATCAGAAGAGTGGACACATAAAGAGGTTTTTTCCGCGACCTATGCATCGGGATCCGGATCCCAGCGGGATCAATTTCCCCTTCCCATCCTTTTGCATGAAAACATTGGAAAGGGGAAGTTTACCCCTATGTCACATTTTAGTACTGTTAGGAATAAAATTAGTACCGTGGTATAGAATTGGCGGAACTCTAGATTATCGGCATAAACGTCACGTCCCTAGCTGACAGCTGTCAATGTCACTACAAGTATGGATAGATTGGCGCGTAACTTGAGTCTGGACGAGAAGTGTTGCTCTGAGTTTAAAGCGATAGTAACAATTAAATAAGTTGTCTAATAGTACTTACTATTTTATGGTGCCTACAATCTGACAGACATCAAACCTCATATGTCATTGTTAGATATCTAAATATGATTTAACTAGCTTTCGCCTGCGACTCTGTCCGTGTGGTATTAAAAAAAAGTGAGTTACCTATGTGCCCTTCCAGACTATCCTCTACATTTATACAAAATTTCATCAAGATCCATTCAGCTGTTTAGGCTACAAACTCTAACAAACATCCATCTAAATTTTCACATTTATAATACTATTTGGCTTTTTAATTTGTACATACCTGTAAAAGTGCTCCATTACTTAAACTCTGAGATAGATCTACTTTGGGTTTCCTCTTATATCCTTTCGGTGGTCCTCGTTTCTTTGCTATCTCTCCATTCTTCTTATATCTTACAATCTCACCATCAGTTGGTTTATGAACTGGGGTTATCGTTAACTTAGCTGGTAAGGAATATCTACTGTGTAGACTTTTCACCATATTTGTAGCTTGTAGGTTACTGGTTGCGATCGCTAGGGGATTTGCTAGATTTAGTGGGTTATTAACAAATTTTGGTAGAATACTGTTTGTTGGGTATATTGATAGTGATTTCGGTGGGTTAAATGTGGGTATTTGGTAAACTTTGAGGTTTAACGAGGAGTTTGTATATTTAGGCCTTTTAGCATCCGGTTCATCATCACTTGATTCTGATATTGTCATGCTTAATGGGTCCTTATCCTTCGAGAATGGATCAGAATGTGATGGCTCTGTTTCTTGTATGCAGAACATCTGGAATTAGAGGTAAGACAATTTAAAATACATTCTAATAGCTTGAGTTGTGGTAAAAACAAAAGAATGTCTGCTGTGTTCTGACAGACTATCCTCTACGTCTATGACATTTATTAAGACCAGCATTTTAGGCTACAAACTCTAACAAACATATATATAAACTTTTGTATTTATAATGTTTGCATATATTTACAGAGTTTCTTTGAATACATTTATAATGGAATTTTGAAGAATCGAAAAATTACTAATAAGTGTAATATTTAATGAATAACCTTTTAAAATAACTTAGTAATGATGAAATCATATAAATTTGGATGATTTAACTACTTAAAAATGTATTGTAACGGTACTTACGTAAATTATACGTGTTAAAAAAATTGACGTAGTATCGAAGTTTTATTTACGAATTGATTTAGATATAGCAAATTTTTACAACATCGACCGACACAGAAGTATGATAGTACGAAAGAATCGTAAAAATAATTCATAGTTTTCATAAATACTTACGTTGGTTTTCAAATTCAGTTATGTTTTATAACGTAATATATCGTTGAACTTTCACGAAAACAATACCAAAACGGTATACCGATCACAAAATGGCGCATTAAATTATAAAAGTAACGAAACAATTAGAGCTGTCTCATAAAATAACTGCACATGCCAGTAAAAACTTCACGAGTACTTCATTTAGTATAATTAAGTTAACAATAAATTTCAATGTTTTGACTGAACAACCCACCTTTTGGTCTGCAAAACGTTACGTATCACGGAAAATAACACAGAAATGCACGATTCAGTTCTATTTTAACACAATTTGTATAGTTTGTTGGGTAAAATAAAAGCGAAATGTAAGAATAAAAGGTTATACTCCGTTTATAATAATAACATAAAGATCCATTCATCTGACGCTACAGCACCGAGTGTTGCAAGTAATAAAAAATCATATCTACCTTTTGAAAATCACTTATTATAAACCTTAACACAAAGAGTTAAAATTGAGATTGGCGTAACTAAGTTCCTGTATTTCCAGCGCTTTAAGCAATTCTAATTTTGTGCTTCAAGCTTAAGCATTCTGACAGTCCCACAGACGTTCAATTTGCTGTGATATATTTTATTATCTGTGTAATTTCAAAATCAATGCAATCAATGTTCAAAAATGTTTTTTAATTATTGAAAAAAGATATTTTTAAACTTTAGTAGGTTTAAGGAAATAGTTTATTTTCCGCATTTAGATAAAAAAAATACGTTCTTTAACCAACAATTGAGTAAATTAATTCAAAATTAGGCTCACATTTCAAACCATTCTAAATATAATTTTCCATTAAAGCTGTTCTTTCCATTGATATAAAAGCAGTGTGTTGTTTTTTTAATTACTTTTTGTGTACTAGCGTAGCTTTAGTTAAATGAATTGAGTAATGGCTCCCACGTAGATATTGCTATCATAAACGGTGATGTCTATAGTAAATTTATGTTATTGCTTAAACACAATCACACCCCGTAACCCAAAGGTGTAGGTGTAAGCAGAGAAAGGTCTTCAATTTTGCTCCTAATAGACATAGGTAACTCAATTAAAATTGATGATCTGCAGATCAACTCACGGTTCGCATAAAGCAGATCATTATGGCTCACAGATCAGTTCAATTTATATCTGCATAGAGGTATGTATTGAATCACCGGGCAGTTTCCAGCTCGTCGGCTCCCATAGTCATAGTACGTCGTGTTGAGCCGTGTGCTTATCAATCATTTACAGAGCTGATTTACACAAGTCTATGTTCAGACACACTCACCTCTTAGTCAATCTTATTAATATTATAAATGCGACAGTTTAGAAGGATGCTGTAGTTTGTAGCCTAACTGCTGAACGGATCTCGATATTTGGCAAATATATTGAAGATAGTCTGGAGGAACACATAGGCTACATGGTTTTGTTTTGTCTTTTAATCCCACGCGGACGGAGTCGCGGGCGAAAACTATCCAAATATAAATTACTCGTTAATTATATCCTTAGAGGATTAGTCAGGATTTGTCATGATCAGTCCATAAAAGGTAAAGGAAGTGAAAAAAAAACCAGTACATTTGTTCGATAATCATTTTTAATTGAAAACTTAACCTAACCTCCAAACGTCATTATCCAAAGAATGAACTTTTTATCAGTAAACAAAAAATAATAATAAATTACTAACGACTAGACGTGCGATCTATTATGACCGGACACAAAATAATAATTACAATTATTTAAAAAAAAATCAAAACAAATGAAGTGATATCACAATCATATTTCGTCGCGTTCAAATGTAGACTTTGTTTAAAAACAAAAGTGACAGAAAAAATACAGAATGACAAAGATTTTTAGACAAAAAAACATTGAAAAGACTTTATTTAACAATATTAATGTTAATTTAAAATAATTGCATGATATTACTCTCAAAGGCGAGATATTTATGACAGTACAGAAACTAAATTTAAAATGTCTAATAGTTTTCTCAGAGCCGTTTTATTGACGCTTTGGGCGAGGTTTCTACTGTCAGTTAACACCAACAAACCCATACGTGAAACGTCAGTCGCCCTAAGCGGTCACGCCCTATCAAACAGCACTTTTGTCTACATTAAAATTAAAACGCATTACAGTTACAAGTCAAAAAAAAAATTGGTTACAATGTCAGATCTAGTATTTAATTCAGACTGGTCACACTGTTTTGGTATAAAAGAGTAATTTTTAATCTGTACCTTAAAATTAATAATTGAAATAAATAAGTCATTACATACAAGATATTCTATAACTTAGCGATAATGCTTCGAAACAAATCCCTTAAACTTATTTTAATGCCATAGATATATAATCTATATTACATTTGGAGTAAATTTGTGACAGGCCGTTTTATTGGGGCAAATACCTTCAGTGTTGTCATATACAATACAGAATGACAAACGTCATTGTGACACTCCCCATAGATTATATATCTACGTATATAAATTACTTATAAAAGTTTTAAACTGGCTGCATACGTTTGGTTCAGAAACTTGGTAAACACATCTAAAAACAGGAATGGTTAAAATCTATACAGATATGTTTATTATGGGATAAAATGATATGCAATTTTAAGAAAGAGACGAATTTGAGCAACTATATCGTAAACAATATATTAGCGAAATTTAAAGCTAAATTGCAGTGGTTCCCAACCTTTTACCTTTGAGGTTAAGATTTAAAAAAAAATATTTATATATTTTAATTACAAATCGGTTAAAAATCATACATATTACAATAGCACAGATCTCTTCAAAATTTAAATAAAACATCCATCAAAAGTCTATTTAGAAAAATAATATAATACCAAAGAAATCCTTAGCAACATAAATGCTCTATGCAACATACATTTTATTCGAGTAATAATTTTTTTATTATATCATTTTAAAAAAAAGGTTGGGAAACACTGGGCTCTTATATAGAATGTTATTAATGTAAATTCCAAGGGCTTAATATATTAAAAAATGATTTATTTGAGATATATTTAGTAGATTTATTCCTATTATTACAAATAACTGTTAAATAAAAGTATTTTAAGAAGAATTAATTCGTCTGAAATTAAAGAAGGTAGAAGAAAGTTTTCCAAATGTTTATCTTATATGAAATTTAGCATTACCATTTCAGGCTCTGTAGCATTCTTCTACGGGCCGATTTATGCTAAATTTCTGCATTCTACTAGGTCTAGATTCTTCTAGAAGAGTTACCAGTATAGTATATATTTTGCATTCGTTTATTTCAGCGACATCTATCGTATAATAAAAGAACAGGATAATTATAAAAAAGAACAGTATCAAAGATGAAAGTTGAAGGATTACATTAAAAAAGTTAGTTTGTATGGTTAGAAGTATTAGGGCCTGTCCCACCAAATTGTAAATTATCTGATAACAATCCAACAAGTGATGGAAATATCTGATTTTGTTACCTTATTTGACAGTGAGGTTTTTAAGCTATCTGAGTCTCTATCAGCCAGTAGTGGGAGGCCATAAATTGAAAATATAGTAAATGGATACGTAATATCATTCTACCCTCTTTAGCTCTTTATTATTACGGACAATAGCATGGAAATAACCTTGGAAAATCCATCAAATCCATTCATAGGAACTGCCAGGTTTTCAGATAAAAAAAACTTAGATATAATTATTATTTTTTTAAAATTATTAAATGCATTATTATTTTATCACTCAATCGAAATATATTGGACGTAGTTTGCAACATAAATGTTCTAGACACTGACCTCTAAATTACACTGGACCAGATTTTGTGACTTTTCTATTTCCGCCATTTTGGCGTTAACGAAACTCAAACTTAGAATTACAAACCTACAAGGATCTTATAGCAGTTGGCTTTGTGAACTAAAAATGTCTTGATAACGTCATATTTAGACTTTACAAACATTAATAAATTATTAGCGATTCAAACTTTTTAGCTTAAAAACGGTATTTCTTTGTCCTAACAAAATATCAAAGCAATTTTTAAGTAAAACTGCAGAATAAAAGTACATTTAAAAAATCAATTCAAAACAAAATGGCGGTTCAGAAAAAAAACTTGTATCTCTTTACGCTCTTCATCTTTTTATACGAATTTTTTTCTTTTAATTGACTTTTGAAAAAAAAAGCATACAGTTTTTTTAACATGAGAGAATATAAAATGGGGAAATTTTGTTTACTGGTAACTCTAAAAACTAGAAAGGCCTGTCAATGTCAAAAGTGCCATAGATCCTTGTAAGTCTAAAAGTGATATTAACTTCATTCCCGTTGTGACCTAGTATATATTTAGGGCTCAGTGTGACCTAGTACATAAAGTTTAGGAACCCCCTATAGTTAAAACCCTAGCAGAACTACTAATAACATTTTTAAACAACAATAAATGAAGTGTCACATAAAAAAATATTGTTTTAACAGATTTTCAATACATTTAACAGATTTTTAATAGTTACAAGTTGGATTATTTCGATTTTATACTAACTTAGTAGCAATACGTAATTTCTTTCAAAGAAAATTATCATCAAGAGATACTAAGCTTATTTTTAGAGATTTTTTTCCTATCAAACGTCATCGTTTTGACAAAGAATAAAAAACATAGATTAAAAACTCATGTGACAGTCCATAAAGTGTTGCCATAACATTTTAATAGAAAAAATACTACAGCCTCGTTACTAAACCGCAAATTCATACATAGATAATAGTCATAAATATATACATTTTTAATATTATGCATGTCAAAGGTCAATTGCAAAGAGGTATGTATTTATATATGGACTTTTTATACCACACTCAGAGTCCAATAATAGATGTTTAACAAGCCTTTAGTATAAGAAATCACTAAGGCACTTAACAGCTATTAAAAAACTTTAAATGTAGTATTATATAAATATTTGTGAGGTAATATTGACAATTTATTGAAATTTAAAAATGTATTACAGATAAAAAAAACTTCTTACTGGCAATCTAAGAATACAACAGAACCTCTTCAAATCAAATGTCATTTAAATAAATAATGTCACATCAAAAGTCAAGGAAAAAGATATATTAATATTCCTTTCATACATTCATACATACAATTCTACCACATTTGTATGTAAAAAATTACATTTCCACATACAAACGTTCTTACAATAATTATTTACATTACTATAAGGAATATATTAAAGTCAAAATCAACCGAACATATTTTTGGCATAAAATATTGGACAATTACGAGCGCACGCACAAGTGACAAGTGACGTCACTTGTCAGTGACTTTTGACGTCATACTGGACAAAGCACGTGCGACATTTAACCAACACATCAGGACTTATAAGTGCGGATTACATCTTTAATCTGTGCCCTACACAATGGACATTGACCTCCCCCTTTACCCCTCCATTGTTGTACCGCACATCGATAACACATACACATATGCCCACACATATATAGTACACTGTCGATAGGATTTTCATAACATATAGTACATTCAGTCCCTGTAAGATTACCTTCACCGATAACGGAGTAGATTGGTTGATGTGAAGGGATCTGTCTGCTGGTGGAAGGTCCAGGTAGTCTTTCCATTCTTATAGATTCTGTATGTCCGTTTGGTATCTGCACTTGTTCGTTGACGTTATTCTGGCTCGTGGATGAACAAGTTTCTGTTCTAACTCTTTGCTGTTGGTAGGATTGTGGTTGGGAGCATGATGGTGGTATGGGCTGGAAGTTGGCTAGACACAGCTGTGATGATGTTTGGATAGGCTGTAAAAAAGAGAGAAGAAACATTAATTTTACTATTATAAATGCAAGTTTAGATGGCTGTTTAGTAGAGTTTAAAAAAATGATACAAAAATGTACTTTGATTGCTGACTTGCTATATAACAAAGTGTGTTCCACATGGAATTATGAAAAACTAGCTTTCGCCCGCGACTCCGTCCGCGTAGTATTAAAAAAAAACAAAAGTAAGTAGCCTATGTGTCCTCCATACTCTCCTCTACATCTATGCCAAATTTCATCCAGATCCTTAGCCGTTTAGGCTACAAACTCTAACAAACATCCATTCATCTAAATTTTCGCATTTTTAATATTAGTTAGAAGTTAGATGTATTTTATTAATTACTACTTTAATTGCAAATGTCAAAATTCAAATACGAAAATGACAACTAAAGCTTTTGACATCGGCTAACAATTAACCGTTGCCAGCAATCTTGCTTTGCTATTGGCTTGTAGTTTTTGTCCCTTACCCGCATGATGTTTTTTCCAAATTATTCACTCCCTAAGTTTAATAGCGTGAAAATATATAGCCTAAAGCATGTCGCAAGAGTAGGTCTTTTAATTTAAAAAGTAATCATTCAAAAATATGCTGTAATTGCTGACATCCTACATAACAAAGAAATGTGTTTTACTTTTTATATGTATAGAAAACTAGGAAATTACCTCAATATAATGAGCGCTGGTTAGAGTCAATCCTTGTTGATTGGCTAAATTCTGTCCATTAGTTTGAGGCGGAAGACTGACTACCAGTACTGTCCCTCCAGAACCAGTTGCTATCGGCGCAGCTGAACCCGCTAACACCCTTAACTGCTGCGGAGGGGTCTGAGCTGGTACCACTTGGGAACTCAGCATTCTAATCTTCTGCGTAGCCCCATAAATATCAACAAACGCCCACAATCTTAACGTATGGTCAACATGCATTACAGTCACTGGATTCGATCCATTCCTACTGACACGCACTTCTCCATCTACTGTCAAAGTTACCGCCAATTCATCACCTCTTCTTAAACCATTCGCCGCGTCTTTCCTTACAACCCAATATTCAGGACGATCTAGTAATTGTTCAGCGTCATATGGTAAATCAGTCGGTCGTAAAGTACCAGGATCACAGGACGTCAGCCCTATAGCTAAGCTACCAGAATACGCTGCTTCTGTCGCCAATATTTGCACAACTATAGTCTGCCCTGGTCGCATCGGTCGTGCTGTGAACACATATCCTTGGCAGAATTCTGCTTCAATTCTAGCAGCAACACCTCTGTCATTTGTAAACTGGACGTTCCTTCCTTTAGTTCTGTGCAAACTGAGAGGTACTAACGGATTCTGATATCTTGGTGGTGGTAATTGTTCTTCGACAGATAAAGACCTCATCTCACCGACTAATCTTTCATCTTCTGTGACAGGGCTTTGCGTTGCTCTTCGTACTTGGGTTGGTACTCTTGGGTCAGCGAATTGAACTGCTGTACAATTCCCGTATACATCAACAAGTGCCCATAAAGGACTTCTAGTATCAACTCCTGAGAAGAAGAGACCTTTATCTTCTCCGTTCATCCCGAAGTGTACATCACCAGCGGAGTTAACGTAGTAATATAAAATATTATCTTTCTCACAGAATCTTTCGCCTAAAGCCTTAGCCCAGTTGCCTGGTTTGTTGGTGAGATCTGGGCAAGCGTATTTCGGTAACGCATGGGCGAGGGTTGTGGGATCGTGTGTGGTAAACCCGAATCGAATGACACCACTCCAGCTGTTTGAGATCTCAACGAAACGTATGCATACCTGGAAAGTGGAAAATGGAATATGTTATTTGAAGAAAATATATTTTTCTCGTAATTTAAAACTGCTATATCCTTTCTTGCCTTTATATTAAAGACCATATCATATGTTAAAAGTGCCTCCAAAAAGATTAAAAAATATATAGAAAAAGCATAGTTGACACTTCACTTGAAACATTTTTCACATTATAAACTAACGCTATCTTATATAGGTCTTTAAAACGGATTATCCCCAACCGTCACCCCGCTCTGTCCCCACATGAGAATAAAGTTACATCCATCCCACCTTTTAGTCGCACTATTAACAATAAGGTGACAGATGGAACCGTTATGAAATAAAATAAGTTTCAACAGTCTTCGTCGCAAAAGGTGGGATGAAACTTTATTCTCATCTGTTCTCACGTGGGGACAGAGCGGGGTGACGGTTGTGAACAATCCTTCAAAAGTACATGTCAATATAATTAATTGTATTAAAATTAATTGCCAATAGATGTTTTAAAAACATTCTTATTTTAAGACATTTGTTTAGTTTATTTTATACCCAAAAATGATGTTTAAATTTTGTAAAATGTTTAATAACGTGTCAATAAAATGTCACTAAACTTGACAACTAACATTTCAAAGAAATTACTCATGAAAAAAGCCCTATGTCCAGTCTATACATTTAAGGTCTGTGTGCCCCTCATAAAAAAAATCTAGTACCATACTTACTTTCTCGTTAACCCTAACTGGTCTAGCACTGAACGCCACACCCTTGCAGAATGACTCCACACGACGTGCCGTAGAACCATCGCGAGATATCCGAACATTCTCTCCATGGACTGCATGGAAGCTCAGCGGAGGAAGATTGTTGGGGGCGCCACCGGTGCACGACGTACGGGGTACTGGAACAAAGAAATTAAAACTTAGAACTGGCCATAAAGAGAAAAAGTTAAAAAAAATGCTTTATTTACATCTTACTAATATTATAAATGTGAATGTTAAGATTAATGGATGGATGGATGTTTGTGAGAGCTTGTAGCCTAAACGCCTGAATGGATTTCGATGTAATTTAGCATAGGTGTAGAAGATAGTCTGGAAAAACACACAGGCTATTGAATTTTGTTTTTTTCAATTTCACGCAGACGGAGTCGCGAGCGATAGCTAGTATAGCTAGTAGTAACATTATAAAGAAGATTTGTATTTTTTTGTATGTATTGAAATAACTCCAACTAATAGGCCGATTTTAAAAATTCTATCACCGTTAGTAAGGTAATTTATCTTTGAAAATAGGCTATATTTTCAATTGTTATTTTATAACGAAGCCAAAATATGCGAAACAATTTGTACGAATTTAGACTTAGTTATACTAAAAGTTATAAATACTAGTTGCTTGCAATGTCCGCGTGTAATAAAAACAAATGATAAAGCCTATTTTACTCACTGACAACGTAGCTTTTTAATGGTGAAAGAATTTTTGAAATCAGCCCAATAGTTTTTGAGTTATTTCAATACATACAAATATACAAATCTTTCCTCTATAATACCAGAATAGGTACTAAAACTATAAAAATTAACTGTTATTTAAGTTTCTTGACATCAAAATTATTTCAAATATACAAGTTTATACCAAAGTTATATTTCGCGACGAAACTTCAGTACAACGAATCTATTGTTGTTCCCCTCGGTTTATTTCTAAACGTCAAGATGGCGGATCCAAGATGGCCACCTGCGCGGCAGATGCGCATGCAGCTTGCGTACGTGTAACGATAACATTTTCATAAATACTTCAATTGGAGAAATACAATTATATGAGTTGTTTACGAAGAGTTAAAAAAAACAATTAAATGCATTTTATAGTCAACATTGTTCTTAAACAACTAATTTGTTTATTACTTTTCGTTATTTTTATTTATATTTTAAACTTTGAGACTTTGTCCACTCAATATAAAGATAAAAGTAGCCTATAATATGCCCGTCTATGTCAGCTACCCTTCCGCGGCTTGCGCCATACAAAACATTTTAAAACGCGATGTTCGATAACGAAATCAGGATATTTTCTTTTGATATTACAGACACTCCAATTTAAAATTACTTATGAAGACATTTTCTGCATTTACGATTATAAACTAAAGCTAACTTATAATTTAAAGTTTCTTTAATAAGCAACCTTTAGGAATATATTCAATGCTGTACAAAAACTACTTCTGCCCATTAACATGTGCTTAGGGGCCATATTCACCCTCCATCAACCAAGAGGAACCCCCCATTGTGAACGCACGTGCTTGTTCCGGAATCACTTCCTACAATGATGGCGGGATGTCAATTGTATTTTAAGCGCCAATTACAACGCCATCTTGAAACTATTGACGAATCGAGATACGTTCCGTTACTTGTTTTTTATTTTTGAGTAAAATGCATATGTCTCTGCCGAATTGATATCGATTTTTCTTTTCATTTTCCACATTTTTTTTCATTTAATCTATAGAGAAATAAAAATAAAAACCAATCGATCTTATTTTCTCTTTTTATCATATCTTTGTATGACAATGTTTTTATCTAATCTATACTATAATAATAAAGCATAAACACACACTTCTTTGTTGCCTAACATGTCAGCAATTACACCATATTTTTGAACAATTCTTTTTTTTTTTTTTAATAAAAAGCCCTACACTTGCATCACGCTTTAGGCTATATATTTTAACGCCATTGAACTTATGGGGTAAATATTTTGTATAAAAACCCTAATGAGGGAAAGAGACCATAAGTTGCTGCCAACATGAAGCAAGGTCGTCATTCGTCATTTGTAATTCCTAATTTGACAGATGTAAACAATAAAACAAAATTTTCACAATTTCATGCGGATAAAGCCGTACGGGAACAGCTAGTATCCATATATTTAGCAATCATTGAATACACTTTCTTAAACAATATTAATTTTAAAACTAAATCTTAAGGGGGCGTAAAACACCAGCTGCAAATGTTAAGGGTGGGGGACGTCATTTTAGGGGCTTATATCCGGCGGATATCAACCTTATGTTAGGGGTTGGGGGTGGTAAATCGGAAGTAAATTCTATTATCTCTTTTTTTTTAGATGTAAAGATGATATTTTTGCACATTGTGGGAAGGGAAAGTTCACAATATTATTATATTACATTTTATTTAGTAAACACTTTGTAATTTACTTAAACATTCCCTTAGTAATGTTTAAGTAACCACTGAGAACCACTGAAGTACCAGGCACACATAAGGACATGGGTATACATTTGGGATAGTGATGCTAGTTCCCTGTAAAGTTACGCAAGTACTCTACTGGTAAATGTCACTTCTGACGTCAGCAAGTCTTCCTGATGCGACAGACGTCCAAGTTTAGACCTAGATGACGTCAATGGCGGTCTAGATCTCAAACGGGAGCAGCAGTTATGCAAACGATGGGACAACGACCCTACAGTTAGAAGACCTATGTAAGTATGGGCAATTCTAACATTTATTGCGTTATATTTTGACCAATTAGAGAGCGACATGCACGGGTTATACTAGGTTTCTGAAGTTTCCACTTATTTTATCGTTACCTAGAGACTAATAAATGTTTGGTTGACCTTAGTTTCATTGAATAAAACTCGGGTTACGTATTTCGGAAACGCATTTCATTAATTTATCGCACCAAAAATACTACCGAGTCAAATGTAGTTGGGAAACCGGGCATTAATGTCGCCATCTTTATCTATACTAATATAAAGAGAAAAAAATTGTATTTTTGCATGCATTGAAATAACTCAAAAACTACTGGGCCGATTTTAAATATTCTTTCACCGTTAGAAAGGTAATTTATCTGTGAGTAACATAGGCTACATTTTTTAAATTCACGAGTGCTAAGTCACGGCCATCAGCTAGTAATGATTAAAAAAATTTTTTTTCTTTCTAACATGGGAGAATTTCGTAATTGGAATTTTTTTACTAACTGGCAACTTTAACTTGACTCTAACTTCTTTCTTAACTTAATTTTAACGTAAAATGTCAAAGATATGTCTATATTCTCTATGTACCAGGATATAAGAAGTTAGCTGGAGTTCGACTTGTTTAGCGGAAGCACATTCACGGTTATTTGAACATAACCACATGTCCGTATCGTAGATCCTCTTGTGTAAAAGGGGATGTGTAGCAAACTGGATCTCCGGTAAATCAAAGCGTTATTAGTATCCTGTTTATACCGACAGACTAACCCGGTAGGAATAATAATACTTCATTAGCGATTTATAGCTGTTCTTACTATAGCTTCTTTGTGGTTATATTCTTACTAATATTATAAACTAGCTTTCTTCCGCGACTCCGCGTGAAATTAAATAAAAATAAGTAGCCTATGTATCCTTTCAGGCTATGTTCTACATCTGTGCCAAATTTCATCGAGATACGTTCAGCAGTTTAGGCTACAAACTCTAACAAACATCAATGTAAACTTTCGCATTTATAATATTGGTAAGATGTGAAAGTTTAGGTGGATGTTTGTTGGTTTGTAGCCTAAACTGCTGAACAGATCTCGATGAAATTTAGCATAGATTTAGGATAATCTGGAAGAACATATAGGGTACTTTTGATTCAAGAAATAGTTACGATTCCCGTGAGATACATTTTTATTTTCTACTCGATAATTCTGCAACCGTTCAATATATTTTACTAAAATTTTGGCATAGATGATACAGAGACTGGAGTAGCACATAGGATACGGTTTATGCTTGAAAAAGTCAGGTTCCCGAAGGATACGTAGTAATTTATTTTTCATAGGTCGTATATTTAATACAGGTCAGGTTTTGGTTACGTTACAAGTTTGGTCAGTAAATATATAAAACCTGGCATATAAACATTTTAAGAATCTTCCAGAATAAACCATAAATTTAGTATTTTTCTTTCTTCATCCCTTTTAATATTACATTGCTTTTCTATTTATATCGCGTAAGATATTTATCGGTTTGCGCAAACCCCTCTAACAATGCGCACTTAATTATCTTCATCCCCTTGAGAGACCGCACATGTTAGGGGTTGAACGCGTGGGTGTTACAGAAATAAGTGAGGGAGTGTACGAAACACAATCTTGTTTAATAAGATTCAAAATATATAACAACTAGCTTTATCCCGTGACTCCCACCGCATGGAATTAAAAAACTAAGTAGCCTATGTGTTCTAGATTATCCTCTACATCTATACTAAACTTCATCAAGATCCTGACAAATTCTGACAAACATCCATCCATCCATCTAAACTTTTCCATTTATAATATTAGTAAGAAGATAAGAAATACATTTACGTATTAAGGGTAGATAGAAAGGAAAATCCATATAATTAAAAAAACTTTTTGTACTAGGATATCAGAAATACGAAGGAGTACTTTGCTCTCTTTAAGGCGTGTTTATATTATGGCTTGTGTTTATAAGTTATGCTCTGGGAATATTATCCAGATATATTGGATCATTGAACTTTGTCTATTAAAGTGTTTTTAAACATAAAAACATGTATCGCAACATGTTTTGTTTCCCATAATTTGACCATATAAAATAAATCAATACTAATATTATAAAGATTTGTATTTTTTTATGTATTGAAATAACTCAAAAACTACTGGACCGATTTAAAAAAATTTTACACGATTAAAAAGCTACGTTCTCAGTAACTTTATCATTGTTTTTTTTTTAAATTGCATGTAGGCAAAGTCGCGAGCAACAGCTAGTTTAGTATAAATTAGTTGTTAGTGAAAAGTACCAGGCAATTATAAATTCATAGGAGATATTTCTATAAACATTGTCACCAAATCTCTCATTCTCTTACAAATAGTTTGAGATTGAGAAGTTTTTATACGTATTTCTGCTATTTCTAACTAAATTTAATTCAAAAATTAATTTAATCATAT